ATGTCCTCTGACCACCATGTTAGAAGCATCTCTGTGAGTGTTGTCTTTACAAACTTTCTCCTTAAGATTGTTAGTCTCTTTCTCTCCCTATTTTCCTTAGATTTTCATTTCTTGCCAAAGGAGTATCTGGGTCCTTGTCTTCTTCCCTTGGGTATCTTTATTTTTTGTTTGGCTTGTAGAAGCCAAAGGCAGCTCTCCTTTGGAATATTTTCCTCATCTTCAGCTTCCCTTCCCTTGTTCTTAATTTAGATTTTCACTGCTGCGTTGGAAGAAGTCAGGCATTTGCTCTCATTCTATTCCCTCAGGTGATGCTCTTTTCATTTTAAAATGAGCCAGCAAGCTCGAGGTTATCACATATCTTGTCCCGTATGTACTGCCAGAGCAGCCATTGATGTCTCCTTTGTGTACAGTTTTCTTCTGTGACTTTGATGCTTGACTTGCGTAAGCCTGCTGCTGTAGCTTCCTTGTCTTACTGTGCTGTTATCAGCTCCCATATCTGTTGGTTCTGCTCCTTGCCACGTTTGTGCTTTCTGAGACTTGGCAGCCTACTTTTGTGCTGCCATGTCATGCCCCTCTGCTGCATAAAGAAATTGCTGACTATGGGCTAGGCACATCTGGGCAAGTGGGTCCAATTATGGAAACACTTGGATTGGTCCTCTGTTCCATTGCTGATCCTGGATGTTTGCTTCCTTCCTTTTGTTTATTCACAAGAGATGTGCATTCCTACCATTTAGGTCTTCAAGGTTGCTTGCAAATAGTTTGGACAAAACTGGTTTCATTAGAGATCTCCCTTGCTAGAGTGGCTGGACTCCCTAATCCTAGACCTGGTGTCCAGGCTAGAAGCCTGAAGGCAAATATGCCATAATACATGTGTCAATGGAGTAGCCTCAGTGGGACAAAGAGGAAGCCTTCCCCTGGAAACACATGTTCCTCAGACCAGTCTGGGAGCACAGCAGATGACTATATGCAGGTTAGAGGTGGGGTGCGTCGGGGCTCCTCCTCCTGCCACACAGTGGTCTCAACAGGTAGCTGGCTTGATTTCGTGTTATGTTTAGTTGATAGTTATAAAAAACATTCTGTGAATGTTGTGGTTAAATGTTATGACTTTTGATTTATTGTATTACTAGGAGCAAAGCCCGTTGTAGGAACAATACAACGTTCTCTAACAAGATGCCACACATCCCCACCCACCCGGTCCCCTGCTTTCTACCCGCTCCCCAGACCCCAGGATGGCAGTATGCCCTGCCACTGGCTCCCTGTCTGGCCATGTCTGGCGGCCTCCGGGCCGCCTTCACCGCTTTCTGCCCTGGCAGCATGCCGGCGCCCGTCTGGTTGCAGGCCGGCCACATGCACTTGGCCTTGGCTGGCAATAACGGCTGCAGCAGGATCGGCCTCGGCCTGACGACCCTCCACCCGCTGGTGCATCTGGGCTGTCCACCACCTCCGAGGACACTGAAGCCCCGTCCCCTGCTGTCTTCCCCCTCCCCAGACGGCGAAATGCCCCGCCACTGGCTCCCTGCCTGTGGGCCACCTCCACCACCCTCTGCCCCAGCAGTGTGCCTGCCCCTATCCGGTTGCAGGGCAGTCAGGTACCTGCAGTTGGCCTTGGCCGATAACAACTGCTGTGGCGCTGCAGGATTGGCCTCGGGCTCTTAAGCCTCCGCCCACCGGAGCATCCATCCCGTCCGGTGGCTCCGTGCAGACTGAGGGTGAGACACTGGCCACTGGCTCTGTGAGTGGGACTGAGGCAGTGCAGCAAGGCAATGCAGCCAATGGATACAGATCCCTGGTGAGTGACACATCAGGGAGCCAATTGATTTGGGAGCGCATGGAATGTGGCCACTCCAAAACAGAATTATATATAAGGAAAGATAACTGCTTGACTGTAATACCACTTTTTCATATTAAATAAAGTGTTAAAAAATAAAATGCACAGGAGTGGATATGGGTTATATTTTGTAAGCAGATCTTGTCTGTGTTTTCATGTAGATAATTTTAGTGTATTTAGTGCAATCAGGCACAAAGGGAAGAGTAGAGATGTAAAATTTCCAGAAATTTTGAAGCTCGGGAAACAACTCAGTTTTTCCCTGGTTATTTTCAGGGGGAAACGGAAATTTTCGGAAAAATTGAAAATAAATGAAAATAAATGCTACATTAGCATTTCTTTTTTCTTTTCCAGACTGAAAGTCATTCTGTTAATTTAGGAGCATAAAATATGACTATGGTCATTTTTACTTGGCAGGAAGAGCTTGAGCAGAAGGATTTTTAGAGAGTACATTGAAATAAGCCATCTTGATAACGATCTTCAGCACTTTATGAAACTGTATTAATAATGGAATTGTTTTAAATGGTTTTATGTGATTTTAACTGTATTTTATGTACTGACTGTGAGCTGCCCTGAGCCTGCATTGTGGGGTATAAATGTGATTAATAATGGCGCCAGCCAGGTCGCCTGGCTCAGCCTGGGACGAGTAAAATAGGCTCCGGAGGCGTGGCTTAGCGTGGCTTAGCGACGATCTGCAGCCCGAGGCCAGCAGGGCGATGCACCGAACAGTGTGAACGCCACCCAACCAGGCTGTCAGCACAGACCCTGACACGCCCAGGACGCTGGGAGAGCATCAGGGAATATTAAGGGAGGCAGGGCCCAGAGGGAAGGAGGGCCTACAAGGACCGGCGAGTGATGCTGGGAGGAGGGGGAAGGATAAAAGGGGAGGGAGTCAGGGGAGCTGAGGAGGAGTAGTATGGGTCGTGGCTGGGAGTGTGGAGGCTGCCTGGAACAGAGAGAAGGAAGCTCCTGAGGCTTGGAGAGAGCCAGAGAACAAACCCCTGCTGACAGAGGGACCCCTGGAGTGCCGCTAAACCTCATCTCCTGCCTTTATGAGGCTCCTCGGATGTACCCCCCTTTTTGCCCAAACCGGACCTGGATCCCAGGATCATCCTGCTCTTTTCCCCCAGCAGCAAGACGACACCACGGCGACTGGCGGCAGGGCCGGAGGCGAGCACAGTACGCTTGACACATATAAAAGGATTAAGTTTGGCTAGTTGGCCCAATGTGGAACGGGAATGTAGAAGTTATTTTAATGTAAACCCCAGGGGTCCAAGATTCCAGATGCTGTAGGTGGCACTCTTGAGCCCTAGTAAGATTTTGGGGTTTCTGTTACGGGTATATATCCTAATAAATTCTTAGACAGCCATATGACTTTTTTCACGCAAGACCTTAAAAATGTACTGATACTGCTATTGTTCTAAGCACTGCTGCCAGACCGTGTAAAAGAATCCACAGACATAATGTTGGTAGGCTCCAAACTGTAGCAAATATCTAGCCAACTTTCCAGTAGATTTTCTAGCGATTTCAGTTTATACTAGGGGTGTGGAGTTTCTTATGAGGGCCAGATATGACATAAATTGGACTTTTGTCGGGCCGGGCCATGTGTGTCATAAAATGTAATGCCGGGTAGCAGAGATATAAACTTTATAAAGGACACAGAAAAGCACAATCAATGCTATTATAGCAGCTATTCCATTGGAGCCCCACATTAGGGGCTAATGTTTCTCTGCAAAACTGAAGTTCCTTGAGTTTGTTGACCGTGGTTAGTCCCAGATCTCCCCCCCTCCCCGAAATATAAACTACAAATATAAATGGTCTGAGTCTCGGACCCAGGGGGAGAACATGAAATGTCTGAGCATTGCAGGCTTCTCCCCCCACCGCTGCCCCTGGTCTACTCAAAGTGGCAGTGGCTCTTCAAGGACTCAGGGTTTGTTTTTGGTTTTTTAATAAGAAATGTTTATTTTTATAAACAGACGAACCACCAACAGAAAAGCAAATTACATGAAAATTGGAGGTATCATTCAAATCATTGTAACTATTTTGTTCCCTCCTACATTGTCTCCTTTGTAATTTGCATCATTGTTAAAAGTTCATATCATCTTCTAATTCGGTTATGTTCCTTATAGTTTATTTATTGTAGTCTTCCAACCATTTATAAAATCTTGACCATGTATTTTCAAAGCTTTCTTCCTCTTGTCCTCTCAGAATTAAAGTTAATTTATCCATCTCTGCAGTCTGAAAGGGTTTTTTTTACAGGGTGGTTTGAGATAATCGTTTTGGGTGTCCTCTTCAGCACTTTGGTGTAGTGGTTAAGTGCGCGGACTCTAATCTGGGAGAACCGGGTTTGATTCCCCACTCCTCCACTTGCACCTGGCTGGATGACCTTCTGCAAGCCATAGTTCTGATAAGAGCTGTTCTCAAAAAAGAGCAGTTTCTCTTAGAGCTCTCTCAGCTCCACCTACCTCACAGGGTGTCTGTTGTGGGGAGGGGAAGGGAAGGGAGTTTGTAAGCTGCTCTGAGACACCTTTGGGTAGTGAAGGGCAGGGTATAAATCCAATCTCCTCTTCTTCTTCTTCTGCTATTATTCCATTGGAGCACCACATTAGGAGGGTGTGTGTGTGTGTGTTAAAACTAGTATTTCTCTGCAAAATGTTTGAGTTTGCAGAACTCTATATTTTAACCCTGGCTGGTCCCAAACATCCCCCCCTTAAAACTGCCTAAACTGGAAAGGTGGGGGGATTATGGGATTTTGTAAAGCCAGTTTTAAAATAAAATAAAACAGAAGTGCAAGGATCACAGCAGAAGACCCCCCCCCCGCTCCTACCTGTGACGAGGACTACGGAGGCTTGGGGCAGTGGCTGGGAAGTTTGGCAGCCCCGCCCTCTGCTTCCTGCTCTCCGAGGTAGCCCCACCCTTGGCTCTTTATACTCCCACACAGCTCAAGATGAGAACAGCGAGGTTGGGCAGGGGAGGGGAGAGAGAAGAGAGCCCCACTCCCGGGCTGGATTAAAGGCCTGGGTGGGCCGGTTCTGGCCCACGGGCTGCGGGTTTGTCACCCATGGTTTATACTGTGAAGTTCTTGTATTTACATGAAAAATGGTGTTGTTTATAAAATTAAAGTTCTTTTAAATATTACTTTCTCATGTATTTACTTTCTAAATATCATTTGCAGATGCTTTGGAATGTTGTTAAGTCCAGGCCGAAATGTCAAAAACAGTGATATGCACTTGCTTGATATGGTAAGAATTCTGTTGTACAACTCGTAGAGACTGGGGTGGGGGGGCAGGCGATACAGTTCATTTATTTTTTAAAGGGTTGCTGTTAAGGTATCCATGATACTGTCCGGTAAAACCCACCTGAAAGTTAAGTATCCACTCTTGAAATTTGGAATGGAAATGTTTCCTTCTCTATGAAATCATGTCTTTGTATGTAAAGGGTAAAACATAATGGCATCCGATGATCCGAAGCATGCATGCCTTTTAAATATGTCTTTCAATTGACTGTTTTTCCTAGGCTATGTCCCAGTAACAACTACTGTGCTTACTCTTACAACCTTTGTGGAATCCTTGTTTAGTGCTCAACTTGCAGGTTTTTATTGCATAAAAGTGAGATCTTTATTAAAAAGACCTTTGTGCAATCATTCTAAGGGATGCCTGAACTGCACATAAGCATCTGTTTCATGTGCAGTTGAAGGTTCTTCAGTTATATTACTGGAAATTTCAGATTCAGTCCTGAAGAAGCTAATGTTTGTGTTCTCAGGAATGCATGGGGAAAAGCAACGATGGAAAAGCGTACATTATTACTGGAATGTGGAATCCTAATGCACCTACCTTTCTAGTCCTGAATGAAGAAACGCCTAAAGGTAACTGTGTTCAAAATAGTGTTTATTCACTTGATACGTTATACAGTCAGTCACATGACTGCAGGTGAATTAAAGAGCTAGTGTAACTTGCTTCTAGGTAAGATTTTCTGTGCGGTAGGTTATGCCACAACATATGCAATATTTGTGGAAGAACTTCAGCACTGGGTGCTCTAACAGTAAAGGAGATTAAATGGAATGGAAGAAATCCCTCTCACAAGCTTATGATAAGAAAAACGTTGCACACGTTCTCCTGAAGTGTCCTTTGTATATTAACCTTAGGAGATGCTGTATTTCACCATGTTTGTCAGCCTGTTCTGATTTATGTCCTTATGAGACAGTTTTACTTGCCAGTAAGGGCTCCCCGTCCTCTAGCAGTTGCACATTTTTTTTTTACTCCTTTTGTCTGGTAACAAATGATTAGTAATAACTATTCAGTGCTCAAGATCTGAGTGTCATGGAGCTTTTATTGGATGAAAGGAAAGAAAAACAAGGACTATTATGTGAGGGGAAGAGGCACAAGAGGGCGGGGGAAGAGAAAAAGAGGCAGTGATCAGAGGTTAAAGCCTCTGGAGGGAGAGGTATTGTTTCTTTTTAAAGGATTACAACCCTTGCAAAAATAGCAGCTAAAGAACAGAGTTGGAAGAGTTGGTATTTAGGTGCTGAAGGCAAGCTGATTCATCTGTACTCTCCAGGTCAATTTTACAGGGTAGATGGAATGATAGGTTTATTAGGTTGGTAAACAAGAAGCTTACTAGTTTTGACTGGAAGTTACTACTCAGAGTTGCAAATAGAAAATGCTCCCCGTTGTATATTGGTTTGTCCTCCCCACACGCTTTTATGCTTTTCTAAATATTTTTGTTTCCTAATGCATAAATATAGGAGAATCTTTACATTGGTATGCTGTAATGCCCTTCTGACAGCGGAAATGGCAGGACTGTCCTTAAAAACACCAGTCATTAATTGCTAATGTAAAAGCGATAACAAATCTAGAGTCCTTATTTAATGTAATGTACTGCCCTCTGTACAATAAACTGAGAGAAATTTATTACTCCTTAGATAAGAAATTTAGATGAAACATGTGAGATACAACGAATACATTTTCTTTTAAATGACTCGTTATGAAAGCTAACTATTGACATAGCGAAGTTGCTTTCCAGCAACCTTTTTTATAAGGGAGAAAAACATCTTTTAAAGTCAGCAAAAAGTCACCTTTTGGCTAATAAGCATTACGAACAGGAACTGATATGTTCCTTGCTGGAAATGTGGGTGTTGGCGCTAGAGGAACAGTAGGCAGCAAGAGCAGACTGGGATGTGAAATACCTAGTGGACCAGGGATTGGGTGAGAAAAATATAATTAGAACTGAGACAAAATGATGGCAAAGAAAACAGCTTAAAGTGTATAATCTAAACAGCAATTTTAGCCTTTATTTACAAGCATTACTTAGTTGTGTTACAGTGTTTAATCCTGAGTTCCTGAGTGTAAAACTGAACTTGATATGGTAGTTCTGCAGTCCTATGATTGTATGGTGAATTGAAGATCTAGTACAACTCTGGCCTGCTGCTACATTCTCAAAATGGCGTTCTAGCAAAGCTAGACCTGGGGTGTAAACTGCAGAAGTAATTAATTGCTGCAAACTTGCTTTTTCATGGAACAGATAAACATGTGTACATGACTGTCGCAGTGGATATGGTGGTCACAGAGGTGATAGAGCCTGTTCGTTTTCTGCTGGAGACCCTTGTACATGTGTATCCTGCCAACCAACGCTTCTGGTATTTCAGCAGAAAAACCTACACAGAAACCTTCTACATGAGATTGAAACAGGTAATTCTTTTTCCCTGTTAAATGGGGGTGGTCTTACTAAGAGAATTCTGAACCATGCTTCACTACCTTAGCATTTATTTTTGTGTATGATGCCTAAACAAAAGTGCAATAGATAATGTGTAAATCAGTAGTCACTGACTTAGAAGCACTTGGGTCAAATGTGGGTGCCGGAGGAATACTGCTTGGGCTTCAGCTGTCAATCCAATGTCTGTTGCTTTAGGACTTGCTGATAGGCTTCTTTCAGGGATGGGTTGTTGATACGGTAGTTCTGCAGTCCTATGATTGTATGGTGAGTTGAAGATCTAGTACAACTCTGGCCTTCTGCTCTGTTCTCAAAATGGCATTCTAGCAAAGCTAGACCCGGGGTGTAAACTGCAGAAGTAATTAATTGCTGCAAACTGGCAGAGATGTGTCATAATGCACAATGTTTTTAAGAGTCTCGTGCTTCTGCAAGTTACTCTCAACCATCTTGAATGGTCACACTGCTAGATCCAGTGCAGTGATTAGAATAGCAGTGAGGATCTGGGAGACCCCCATTCAAATCTCCACACTGCTACGAAGCTCAGTGGGCGACCTTGGGCCAGTCACATGTTTCTCAACCTAACCCTGCCTCACGAGGTTGTTGTGAGGATAACATGGGGAAGGGAGAGCCATGTACACTCATTCTAGGAAGGGGCAGCATTAACATTTTATTTATGTTTTAAAGAATATTTGGAAAGAAAAGAATGCCTGTAGTCTCTTCTGACCTCCGGAAGGGTGGAGTCTAGAATCACAGGATCCACTCTGTTGCTCAAAAAGGAAGGACAGTAAGGCAAGGGAGAGAGAGAAAAACCAATCTGATGTTATTTTGTTCCCTAAGAAGCACAACATCATGGTGCTTTATCACATCTTGCATGTTATGGAAGTCTTTGGTGTAGGCACCAGTATTTCAGTCTTTGAGTATACTTTTGGGTACAACTAAGGTCTCAGGAATGATTACCAAGGACATCATGGTACTACTGAAAAACATGATATTCTGTTTGCATTTTGCATTGTGGAGTAATTTGGACCTCTACAAAATTTGAGAGCATTTATAAAAATACACAAACAAGAGCTAATTTAATTTGTTGAACTTAAACCCATCAATGACTACTTGGGGTGGGGTGGGGGTAAGGGGCCGAGAAGAGTGGCTTCTGTTCGGCTGTGATTAAATTTTTTCTAATTATTTTTACAATATTCTGATAGGATACCTCTAGGGCAGCACAGGAGAGCAACCCACAGCCAAAGTGGGACTTCTGCATTATCTAGAGATTCCCCAGGAGTGCAAACAAATACTTAGAAATGAAAGGGTGAAGAAACTCAGTGACAGAGCATGTTTGTTTCAGAGAGTCCACAGAATGTTGAAAGCAATTGTGTGAGTTTCAGAGGGAAATAAGAGGAAATCCAGGTGGAGAGCGGAAGACACATAACTGGCCCAACCCCCTTATTGGTTGTATTTCCTTGGGTTGGTGGGGAATCCTGGGTTCTGTTACCTTCAAATGCTTCGATGCCTTCAAAAGTGAGAGTCTTCATGGAAGAGGGTTCATTAAAGCTGATGGAAAAGTAATTCTGCAATTCCTAAGTAATTACTTCCCCCAAGATCTGTCTTCAGATGCCAGGGACTGTCCGTAATAACTTAACGTAAAATGGAATGGAATGGTGATAAAAGTAATTCCTCCCCAACTCCCCTCCTACAGCAAAGGGAGAGAAGATGAAAATAGCGCCCTTTCCAAACTGTGTTGCTTACCTAACTACTTAGCACTGTAAAGCTGAGCTGGGCCTTAACACTCCTGCACTATTGAGGAAGGAATTGCTTGATTATTTGGGTCCTTACTGCCACAGTTCCTTGATATTCCTAAGATATACGTTTGTAAGACTAAATGCTGTAGGGTTAGTTTAATTAGCTAGGATCGACTCTGTTCTGAAAATATCTAAAATTCTGAATTCATATAGCCTCAGTTTTGTGCCAAGGAAAGCACAATTCTGTGATCTGCATCAATTATGGAAATTAAGGAAAGAGGTGTAAATATTTTACTTCTGTAGTCCCCCCCCCCACTGCTCGCTGAAGAGTTTGCTACAAAACGCACTAAAGCATTGCGCCTGGTTATGAAAAACCCTTCTCAGTTCCATGCACCAATCAGCTCTCTGAAAGTTTGCCAGTCTCTGCTCTAGCATTTTTCATGTCTGTTTTTGCATCCTTAAGGGTGGGAGACTTCAAACTCTAGTTCTAGGAGTATTGGATTCTACACCCAGTACTATTTTCTGTGTTTTTCCTATATTGCAGAAAGCACATAGTATTCTTGACTATTGAGGGCCCGAGTCACACGTAAGGGTTTGGGCCGGGAGAGGGACGCAAACGGGTGCGATCGCACCGCAACATCTGGGAAGCGGCGCGCACCCGTCCCCAATCCGGCCCTTCAGGCCGAAAACCCGCTGCAAAAAAGAACCACCCCTAGAGGTGGGCCGTGGGATTGTCCTTCCGAGGCTCCTGGCCGAACTGCGCATGCTCACACATGCGCAGTTTGGCAGCCTTCTTCTCTGTTTCGTGGCTTTTTCCCCGGTCTCCCTGGCATCTGATCGTGCCGGGGAGCAAGTGCGTGGCGGCTCATGGGATCTGTGCGATCCCGCCGCCACGTGCCTATTTTGGTGCGGCTTTCAAAAGCTGCACTTTCCCCGCGCATTCCCCCCCCCCATGTGGCAGGGACCGAGATTACTCTTTCCACTGCTGTACCCCTGAGTTTGTGTTCTGGAGTGAGTGGTATTATCAGGTTGAAAACTTTCCTTCATGAGCATAAGCCATGATAAATATCACATATCCCTTGACACTGCACTTCCTGAATAGCTTACAGACTTGTTTTTTTTGTTCGCTTTGAAAGAATCAGGTGATTTCATGAAGTATTCTTCTTTTGCTGATGGAGTTAAACTCCAGCAAATTATACCTCATGCTATATAAGAGATTCCATTTTTCATGTCAAGTATTTCTTTTGCATTAAATGTAACACAGTGTTCTTTTTAATTTTTACACAGTTGCTTTTTTGAAGCTGAAGTGACATTCCTATCTTATTTGAAAAAAATAAGTTCCATTTTTTCAAGCTTAGGAAAAAATTGTGAAGGACTGAGATGTCCTAGAAACCTTGAGCTTAAAGTATACTCTTAACTTTTTCCTTTTGATAACACTGTATTAGTTGTATTCTTAATACAGCCCTGTGAAAATGTATGGTGATGGCACTTTGGAATGGGCTGTCATTAAGTTTTTTTTCTTGCTGGTTTAATCTTTTTCCTTTCTCTTATCTCAGAAAATCCAAAACGTGTTGATACATTGAGTTTAAAGTCTGGTGTCCTTAACTTTTAAACACCCAAGTTTTAATTCAGGAGCGCAGCTTATTTAATTTCTCTAATAAAATGCAACATTAAATATTCAACACCTGATCTCTAAGCAGATTACAAAGGTGAAAGGAACATAGTCTCTGCCTGCAGCCTTTCTGGGAAAAGGCCAAACGCATAAATAAAACTGAAGCCCAGCAGTTTTTTTTAAAGTATGGATAGGGGAATGCTGTTGTTCTGTGGATTCAACTTGTGAAGAGAGTTTGAAAACCAAAGCCTACTTTTTCAAACTTTACATTCTTGTAACCTTAGCAGCCCGTACTTGAAACACACTTTCTTTCTTGTTAGTGCGAAGGGAAAAGCCATGCAAATGCTGGAGATGCAATTTATGAAGTTATGAGCCTGCACCGGGAGTCTGAACGAGATGAAGAATTAGTCAGCTCGTCAAGTGGTGGTGATCAGATCTCTCCACAAGAGGATGATGCTGAAGAAGGTAAGAGTAGGATGAAATTGTGCAATTCCTGTTTGGAATATAATGCCTCATATTAACTCCTGCTCTTCATAATTATTCCTCAAGTAGAAGAGATGTATCATATCAGTCTATTCTAAATTAAAAAATGATCGCTGTGAGTTTACCTTGCTTTTGGAAACTAGGAGCTATGTTCACTATAGCACTGTTCACTGTATTGCTCACCTCTGGCTCTGCAGATGCAGAATGGGGAATCAGTATATATCATACCATTGACCAATCGTTAAACATTCACTGCCACAGGAAGTGGTGGCGGCTACAAGCATGGACGGCTTCAAAAGGGAATTAGATAAGCATATGGAGCAGAGGTCCATCAGTGGCTATTAGCCACAAGGTATAGATAGGGACTCTGGGGCAAGTGATGCTCTGTCATCTTGGTGCTTGGGGGGGGTCAACAGTGGGAGGGCTTCTAATGTCCTGGCCCCACTGGTGGACCTCCTGATGGCACTGGTATTTCTGGCCACTGTGTGATACAGAGTGTTGGACTGGATGGGCCTTTGGCCTGATCCAACATTGGCATCTCTTCTGTTCTTATGTTCTTATGTTTTTGTTTGTTCTGCAGAGAGTGATAATGAACTTTCAAGTGGCACTGGTGATGTATCAAAAGATTGCCCTGAGAAGATCTTGTATTCCTGGGGAGAGTTACTGGGAAGATGGTAAGAATTAGTAAGGAGATGATTATCTGGCCTTTGGAATGCAATAACAATGCCCTAGAACAATAATGAAGAGAAAAACATTTGCCCCATGGATTGCATATAACACAATTTCTCTCTTCTGATACTTTCTGAGGGTAGCTGTGTTGGTCTGCAGTAGAACAGCTAGTTTAGAGTCCAGTAGCACCTTAGAGACTCAAAAGATTTTCGGGGTATAAGCTTTCAAGAGCCAAAGTTCCATTCTTCTGATGCTTTGTTTCTTGGAAACCCAAGTTTAATTTTAAAGAGAGCATCTAGCCATTGTAATTGCAGAGATTCGTTTAAACACATGGGCAATGTGTTTAAAAGAGATAGGACGTTTGCACAGAAATGTCTCATTTTCTGTGCTTTTACATAACACTGGAACTTGTGGACAATAAAGGAAACAGTATCTGGGAAAAAGGAAGGTTCCTAAAGTTATGTGGAATCCTCCATCCCTGTTTTCTGTGGGGACTGCTCTACTTGTGGTGAGCTTGCAGCTTTCCCATTGTGTGCCATGTGGACCACTGGGTGTGCAAAGGCTCCCTGGGGCTTGCTGTTATCATATATGCTGCGTTAGCACACTGAAGACTCTTTTAAAGATGGAGGTAGGACCTACTGTGTGTACCAGCCCTAGTAACTAAAAAGCCATTGAAAGATTTCAGTGTAGATTATTCACATGAACTATAGTGCATGATTTTATTGAAACGAACTGCAGGGTGGTTTTTTAAAATTCTTTTCAGAATTGGTTTTTAGCAGTTTCTTCATTTTGCAAATAAGTAGGGATCTTTGAGTGTGTGTTCCTCAGCCTCCTACTGTCTCTTTTTTGGGGGGTTAGGCACAGTAATCTTGGTGTGCGACCAAAAGGACTGTCTTCATTAGTGAAGAGTGGTGTTCCAGAGGCACTAAGAGCTGAGGTATGGCAGCTGCTGGCTGGATGTCATGATAATCAGACCATGCTGGACAGATACAGAATTCTCATCACAAAGGTGAGTCTTTATTTTAGTTTCCTTTAGTTTGTTTTTGTCTGAATTAATAGAGCTTTTTATTCTAAAAAGTTTATTTGGTATGTAATGGCTCGCTTTAATCAGGAGAGGAGTCAGTGACTCCAATTGTTTGCAGTTACATGGCGTCTGTTATTATGTGCAGTTGTTCAGAATGCAGTTGCTCGATACTAAAGTACTATAGATTCTAGGGACTAGCATTGCACATTTGTGATGGTTTGTAGTGCTAGTGTAGTTTGTACTGCTAATAGTTTTAGGCCATTATCTTTATATTTAATTCTGAATGTGGACCCAGAGTGTGGGTCAAAAAAATTCACACAATAGAATAGTATACAGATAGGATGGATCCCAGAAAGATAAAAATTTGAGGGGGATTTTTAAAAAGACCTGCAGGTAAAGAAATGACAAGCTTCCACAATGCCACATTGTGAGATCTCACCTGCCATGTTTGGGTTCCCTAGCACTCCCAGTAAATAATACTGCAGTATGCATCAGCTACAGCAGTCAAGGAGGAGCTGGTGGTGGGGGGGGGGCAGCTGTAGGCGCAATGACAGGAAAGAGGGGCAGGCAGTGGCAAGGAGGAAGAACATGGTAGTGCTGGAGGAGAGGGAGGTGATGGAGGGGAGGAGTGGGTGGGAAGGCTGGGGGAGAGGAGAATAAGAGAAGAGGTTGAGGTGAAAGAGAGGAAGAAATAGGAACGGCAGGGGTGCAGTTGGGATATCTTTATCCCTGCAAGTTATTTGCGGGTCCTCTGATATTTGATGTGATTATTGTCAGCTGTTTGAATTGCTGTTGATAATTAAGTGAAGCCTTTACATTCAGAAGTAGCATCTCTCTAAAAGTGCCAGGTCTTCAGTAGCCGATGTCTTAAGAACATAAGAGAAGCCATGTTGGATCAGGCCAATGGCCCATCCAGTCCAACACTCTGTGTCACACAGTGGCCAAAACCCAGGTGCCTTCAGGAGGTCCACCAGCAGGGCCAGAACTCCAGAAGCCCTCCCACTGCTGCTCCACAAGCACCAAGAATACAGAGCATCACTGCCCCAGATATAGTGTTCCATCTACAGCTTGTGGATAATAGCCACTGATGGACCTCTGTTCCATATGTTTATCCAATCCCCTCTTGAAGCTGTCTTTGCTTGTACCCGCCACCACTTCTCACGACAGTGAATTCCATGTGTTAATTACTCCTTGGGTGAGTAAGTACTTCCTTTTATCTGTTCTAAGCATACTGCTCATTAATTTCATAGAGTGCCCATGAGTTCTTGTATTGTGAAAAGGCGAGAAAAGTACTTCTTTCTCTACTATCTCTATCCCATGCATAATTTTGTAAACCTCTGTCATGTCACCCCTCAGTCCAAGCTAAAGAGTCCTAACCTTCTTAACCGTTCTTCATAGGGAAGGTTTTCCATCCCCAGTACTATAATATCTTTTTTGATGTGTGGTGACCAGAACTGTACACAATATTCCAAATGAGGCCGCATCATAGATTTATACAGGGGTATTATGATACTGGCTGATTTGTTTTCAGTCCCCTTTCTAATAACCCCAGCATAGAATTTGGCTTTTTTTATTGCAGTTGCACACTGAATCAATATTTTCAGTGAGTTATCTACCACGACTCCCAAGATCTCTCTCCTGGTCAGTTGGACCCTATCAATGTATATTTATAGTTAGGATCTTTGGTGCCAGTGTGCATTACTTTGTACTTGTCAATGTTGAACCTCATTTGCCGTGTTGCTGTCCACTCGCCCAGCCTCGACAGATCACTCTGGAATGCCTCATAGTCCTCCCTGGTTCTCACCGCCTTGAACAACTTAGTGTCATCTACAAACTTAGTCACTTCACTGCTTACTCCCAACTCCAAATCATGAATGAACAAGTAAAAAAGCACCGGACCTAGTACCGAGCCCTGCAGTACCCCACTGCTTTACCACCTTCCACTGTGAAACTGCCCATTTATACTCACTCTCTGTTTCCTGTTAATTAAAGAGTTTTTAATTCACAAGAGGACTTGCCCTCTTATCACCACTGTGGCTTTGCTTATGAGATTCCAGAAGCATCTCTCTAGTCGCTGTTGGGAAAAGAGCTGAGAGTTAGATGGACCTTTGGTTTGATACAACAGGTCAGCTCTCGTGGGAAGTTTGCCAAAGTCTGGAATGATGGACTTTGGTGAGGCCTTTATTGACTACTGTACAGATTTTGGTTAGGAAAGCTGTCCTCTCTAAGGTTACAGGGCTATCTTTATCTCTGATCAGATGCTGCTGTCTATTATTATTATTATTATTATTATTATTATTATTATTATTATATCTATTTGCATTGTTCCCTAGAACATGTAGTTTTAAAGTTAGAAATAGAGTGCTAACGCTGAGATTTCAAGTTTATTTCACATGAAAATAGCAAGCCCATCTCTGGTCTCTATGTAAGGTAGGCATCTGGTGACTGTGAACATGATTGAAAGAGGCATCTGCCTTTCTCAGTTCCTGATTTTGCATCGGTGTCAGAGTTCTAAAGCTATGTTACTTCTTGACACCCACACTGACAGCCATTTCCTTTGAGACTGGCAAAAACCCTACTGATGCATACGAAATCGATTGTTTGCTTTGATGGCAAGTAATGCAGAAGTGTATGAACTACGTGTCACCATTATTCCTCCTGTAATGCTAGCTGTTGCTGGACATCAATGCAGCTGTTTTGAGTTTACTTTGAAGCATTTCCCCCTCTTATCGCCATGGTGTTTCATTACATGGATTCTTGTCTTGATTAATAGCATTGTTTCAGATGGTTAATGTAATCTTCAGGCTAGAGCAAGGTAAAAACAAGTTGAAACAAACTGAGATTGAAGCTGAGATGAATAATCCAGTCACAGTGGAATGACCCAGCAGAGAAACACTTTGAGACCATGTTAGCTGAGGACCTGATTAATAATTGATTTATAGCTCAGTTTCTATAACTTGGGGATGTTAAATCAGGCTGGAGATTTGGGGAAAGAACTAGAAACTGATACAGTCAATTAGAATTTCTGTTGAAATTAGTATTATTCTTCCAAAATCTTTTCATTTCTGGAGGTAGTTTTTAAGCCTCCCTTAAGGAAATGCCTTAAAGTGAGGGTTTGGATCATGTGAGTCTTATTCTTTTGAATTAACTTTCGTTTATATTGTGGTGGTTCTTTTCTCTGCATACGCTTTTAGGCCTTGGCATCCTAATTAAAATAGCTTCATTAAGATGATAAAATATAGAATGAAAAAAATTCATTCCATCATTTAATTTACAGTTTTCAAAATGCTATGAAATTAGTATTATAAGTTGTCATTTCTGGATGAATTATTAGTTCATACTTGTTATGCACTTTGGAGATGAAGAGCAAGACTTAATATTTCATGTGCTGAAAGGGCACTAGGAATGGGTACAAAAGTGTATCTTAAATCACATTTGATTTACTTTCCATGTACATTAATTTGTTTGAAACTCTGCCTATAAATTGTATTGTAATGGTGGGTACACACATCTTGTCAGTCTCGTAGTAGTAAGGCCACACACCCAATTAGCAATGTATTACATTGCAAAGATATTGCTTGATGTAGAAGGTACTTTTGCTTTGAAAATTTCCAGTTTGGTGTACTGGTTAAGTGCACATTCCCCACTCTTCCACTTGCAGCTCCTGGATGACTTTGGGCAAGCCATAGTTCTGTCAGAGCTGTTCTTGAAAGAGCAGTTCTCGAAAGAGCTCTCTCAGCCCCACCTACTTCACAGGGTGTCTGTTGTGGGAAGGAGAAGGGAAAGGCATTTGTAAGCCACTCTGAGACTCCGAGTGAAGGGCGGGGTATAAATTAGGGGTGTACATTTGGCTATAACTGAACCAAAAAGATACCCGAAAAATACCTTGTTGGTATTTTTCGGGTATCACATAAGCTGAATACATATCGGAGATCTGTATTCGGCTACCAATATAGCTGAACCAGAAAAAGCCGATATTATTTGGCTTTTTTCAGGTTCTGTTTGCTATACTGAAAAAGGACTCAATTAAACCTAACCGCCTGAGCCACCAGTTAGCTGTTGGGTTTAAATGTCTTTCTTTCCCTCCCCAAGATCAGGGAGGGAAAGAAAGGCATTTTAAACATGCCTGGGTTCTTTTCTGATCTGGGGCATCTGGAGAAGATCAGCAGGGGAACTTAGGCATGTCTGAATGCCTTCCCTCTTTCCCCAGGCTGCCCGTCATGGCAGACAGGCTGGGGAAGGGGAGGCAGGCATGTTTCTTCTCTGAGCCTCTCCGCTTTTGCAGAGAGACTTGTGAAAGTGTGGGGGCATGTTTAAATGCCTTTCTGAAAGGCATTTTAAACATGCCTGGGTTCTGGAGAAGATCAGAAGGGGAACCCAGGCACACATGCCCCCTTTCTTCTCTGAGTCTCTCCACTTTTGTGGAGTGACTTGGGGAAGTGCGGGGGGGCATGTTTAAATGCCTTTCTTTCCCTCCCCAAGGTCAGGGAGCTAGGACATGTCAGCTAGAGAAGGGAAAACACAGAGAGGCTTTTCCTTGTCAATTTCATTCTCAGCTGATTAGCGGGGAGTGAAATTGATAGGGGAATCTATAGGGGCTACCAGCGGGAAAGAAGGCAATTTAACATGCCTCCTTTCCTTCTGGTGGTGTAAATCAGCCCCGAATATATTTGGCATTACCAAATATTTTCCCAATCTGAATACCTTACTGGTATTGGACTGGGTAAATTCAGCATTTCCTGATATTATGGGGGTCTGATTTACCCGAAGCCGAAAAATACCGGCATTTTATTTTGCACACCCCTAGTATGAATCCAATCTCCTCTTCTCCTCCTCGTTTTCTATTCCTGCAAGTTTTAATTTACTACAGTTTCTCAGAAAGGAGGGATGACTTCTGTTTCTGTTGGGTGGTCATGTGGTAGGGTAGCTGCTTAAGGTAGTGACAGATAGGAAGGCATTCTTTTGCATTGTGGCATAAAAACAAAAGGCGCATATTGTTCCTTAAGAGAGGTGTTGCTCTACATGCTACCACCAATGGGAAATGACTTTGAGGTTTAGGGCAAGATTTGCATGCAGAGAATCGGAACAAGAATAGGAACAAGCATAGAGGTAGAAATGCTACCATAGCACACATACCCCTTGGTTTCCAGTTTGATATGCCTGTGCCTGCTGGGCAGGACTAGCCCAAATCCCAGCGGTTCCCATACTGCGGGGGGAAGGTGTCAGCTATGGTTGGTGGAACATTGGTAAACTTGGTAGTGCAATTGCACCGTCATGCACTCTTGATGCTTTGTTTTTTTTGGGGGGGTACTTTGAATTAATTTAGAGAATGCTCTCTGATTAAAATCACATACTTTGGAAAACTGTTTTGCTTTCTGTGTGGCAGAGAAGATTGATTTAATTCCTTGATTTATGTCAACAAAAACCCATGCTTTAAATCGGAATTTTCTATTTATTATTTTGAAGCTTCCAAATAGAATTGCACTCTAGCTGGCTGCCCTAGCTATATTAAAAACTAAAACTAAAACTGACACATGCATACAATCTCAGGACATAAATTAATACATTTATGTAATATTTAATTTATTTCTTTTATTCTTTTAGAAACTGATATGCAATATATTACTAATTTTAGATGGTTTACTGCTCATGACCCAAAACTAGGGGGTTGGCAACCTGTAAGCATGATAGTTTACTTTTTTTAAAGAGAATGTGGTTAGAATCCACACAAGATGTTTCTTTCCACTGTTTCTTTCTGCTGAAGTCTGACCTCCTCCTTTGTCATATTACTGCCCTTCTGTGCCTCATCCCTACTTCACAAAAAGTTAATCGTCTCATCTAGAACTGCCCGTCTCATTTATAATAAGGGTACTCTGGCAATCTCAAGACCTTGACAGCCAATTAAAGAGATCAGTTAGTTATGAAGCATAAAATAGGAGTGAAGAAGGTCAACAAGATAGATCATGGGATGACACCTGTGGTGCTTTGCAAGTACCTGAATCCCCAGCATGAAGCCAGAGAAGAAGGACATAAATTATTGTGCTGCCTAACGATGGGCAAAGAAGTTTTCCTCACCATTCCTTTCTTACAAAGGAAAGCAGCCTTTTATAGCTTCATTAGAAATTATATGTTTTCATTAAGTTCAGGTTGCATTTCAGACCAGGTTATTTAAAAAAGATGTTTACTGTATTTGAAACTTAAAAACATCATTTAAAAAATAAAATCTGGTTCAATTAAAATAACAGTTGATTTTTTTTTAATGATTCCTCTTCCTCCTGGGCTGAGTGCCGGTACAAATTTCCCGAAATGAACTGAAGTTTGGGGTAGGTGTGTATTTGAGGGTGATCATGGGCGAGAAATGTGATGTCTGAAGTGGACTGGCCCTTTGTACAAATCATTTGCCGAACTAGAGTTCCAGAATTCTCGGAAGTCTTCAGATATAGGTCAGAGCAGTTTCCCCCCACTTTCTCACTAGTATCCTGTCTTTCCTCCAGGATGCTTAAGGTGACATGCATAAGGTTACTTCTCCTAATTTTGGCCTGTCAAGAACCCATCATGTAGATTAAGCTGAGAGATAACTAGCCTAACGTTAACCAGTGAGCTTCATGACCAAGCAGGGATTTCCTACCTCCGCATGCTACTTGTGAAGTTTGTGGGTTTGGATGTTCATTTATCATATTCTCGTATGTATAGTGCTGCGTACCACACATGCAAAATTTGGGCTGCATTCGGTTGTAACAACAAACACAGATTCGTGCTCTTGATGAACATGAATGTGGTTTACTATGCACAGTGGGAAATTAGCCCTTTGCCTTGCAAAAGAATTAAGGCCTTTTTTTTTAGTTTTTATGTTATGACACCTGCATTCATGTTTCTCAAGATTTGTGATTTCTCAGCATTGAGGGAGTGTGTACTCATGCTAGTATACTAGTATTTTATAGATGTATTTCTGCTCTCTTCACAGCACAATTGTACATCTTACAATCAAGGACTCAGCTAACTGATAGAGGCTGGAAGGCATTCTAGAGCTGCTGGATTGTCCCTTCCATCAGAGGAGGTGGCAGACTGAACTCACAAACAATGTGTCCTCCATTGTTGTGGGGCCACGCTGAGTTAGGGAAGCAGAGCTTTGGTTTGAGTTGTCCTGAGACTTTCCGTTTGGGGTTAGTACGTGTTTAGTGAATGTTTCGCAGGGCATAATGACATAGAATAGATATTATTGTATGTTATGGAGAAGTGCACTAGAGAAGAACTTGGCAAAAAGGTGCCATTTGTGCCTGGAGTGGGGGCCAGTCCATGGGGGTGGGGTTACAGCACAGACACACCATGCTTGGACGAATCAGGCCACAGTTTGTATTGATTCTGTGTTCCTCAGGTCTTGGCACATTGTAGGCTGGGGACAGCAGGTGCTGTTGACAGCCCAGCTGCTGTCAGCACCTTCCGCAACCTGTCTGTTGGGGTAAACGAGGGCACAGGGCTGGTGCTAGGGCTGGAACCCTATTCCTAGCCATCACCATTCTCCTGGGGGCATGGCCAATGCATCAACCCTAAGGTTGGCTGTCTTGCCCCTTGTCCTCCAGAGCCCCTTAAGGAGGACTCCCGTAACAACAAACACAGATTCGTGCTCTTGATGAACATGAATGTGGTTTACTATGCACAGTGGGAAATTAGCCCTTTGCCTTGCAAAAGAATTAAGGCCTTTTTTTTTAGTTTTTATGTTATGACACCTGCATTCATGTTTCTCAAGATTTGTGATTTCTCAGCATCGAGGGAGTGTGTACTCATGCTAGTATACTAGTATTTTATAGATGTATTTATGCTCTCTTCACAGCACAATTTTACATCTTACCATCAAGGACTCAGCTAACTGATAGAGGCTGGAAGGCATTCTAGAGCTGCTGGATTGTCCCTTCCATCAGAGGAGGTGGCAGACTGAACTCACAAACAATGTGTCCTCCATTGTTGTGGGGCCACGCTGAGTTAGGGAAGCAGAGCTTTGGTTTGAGTTGTCCTGAGACTTTCCGTTTAGGGTTAGGACACGTTTAGTGAGTGTTTTGCAGGGCATAATGACATAGAATAGATATTATTGTATGTTATGGAGAAGTGCACTAGAGAAGAACTTGGCAAAAAGGTGCCATTTGTGCCTGGAGTGGGGGCCAGTCCATGGGGGTGGGGTTACAGCACAGACACACCATGCTTGGACGAATCAGGCCACAGTTTGTATTGATTCTGTGTTCCTCAGGTCTTGGCACATTGTAGGCTGGGGACAGCAGGTGCTGTTGACTGCCCAGCTGCTGTCAGCACCTTCCGCAACCTGTCTGTTGGGGTAAACGAGGGCACAGGGCTGGTGCTAGGGCTGGAACCCTATTCCTAGCCATCACCATTCTCCTGGGGCCATGGCAAATGCATCAACCCTAAGGATGGCTGTCTTGCCCCTTGTCCTCCAGAGCTCCTTAAGGAGGACTCCTCTTTGGTTATGCAGGAAGCCCACCTTTGCTACCTGCACTGTCTTCCCAAGCCAATGCCTTAGCAAGCAGCCAGTTGTGATGGTTATGCTCTTTACAGTACATTCAAGGAGACACATGAGCACACTCTCACTCTTCCTTTGTTATGGGAAAGGCAAAAACCCTAGGGTCTCAGAAAAAAAAAAAAGGTTTGGTAGCACTGATAATGCCTACATTTCTGAAACTATGTGGCGCTTCAGGATTTTGAACTGGAGATCTGATTTGGCCTCTTTCATATCGTATCTGAATTTGAGTGTGCGAGTATGTAGCAAATCTATTTCATAATTGAAAAACCACCCTCCTTCAAAATCTGAAGATAATTAAATGCAAATAACAAATTTATTATTTTCCTGTTTAGTGCTTTGATGTTTGCATGCTCTATTAAATATCTCTTCTGTTGCGTTGAAGACTAATTGTGTTCTCCAGAGAGAAATATATTAAAAGAAGACTATCTGTATTTCTTTTGGAAGTTGAGTCATAGATGCTATATTTCAAATTGGCTGACATTGGATTTTATTTTTCTACTTTTGACTGCTTTTAAAATTCCAGTTGCCATAACAACTTTGCTACCCCTATTTTTCTTATATCAAATCAGTTGCCATAACAGTAAAATACAGCTTTATGAATGTGACCGTTTTTCTTTTTGTCTTTCTTGGTTGGAGGATAGATGTTGGTGTGTGTGTGTATGTGTATGAGAGAGAGAGAGCCAAAGCGAGAGAGAGAGCAGTGTGTGTAAGAGAGAATATGCAGTGTGTGTTCACCTGCCTGTGCTAGAGAGCGGGTGAGCCTTTAGTCCTACGTTCAGCAGTATTCATGCAAGAGTAGCCAGAACTGAATGAGCCCCAAGTTTATGGCAGCATTTGATCACAAAAATATATACTGTCTGTTTTCAAGCCAGCATGTAAACATAGCCCAATAAAAGTTTTCATATGGATTTTCCCAAGGGTGGAACTGAGAAATAACCATTGCCCCTAAGTGAATTCATTTCATTAACGTGTGTCTAGGGAAACAGGTGAATCCTTTTGTTGTTTGAAAAGCAGTAAGTAATTAAATTACATTTCATTTTACTTGGTGACTTAAAATACCACTGCACGGAGCTTACAGATCCCCCCCCCAGTACAGGGCCTGTTCCCTTTTTGTTTTAAAATATGAAAAATCCATGTAATAAGGTGGTTATAGCTCTTCAATAGTGGTTCTTCAGCTGATTTAACAGGGTCTGGTCCAGTGATTTCTCCCCAAGGCTCTTCAAGTGGCACTGAGCAAATAGGATTCAACCCTAACATTAAGGAATTGTGTGATGGCCCTTAGGCATAAGGGTCTCACTGGAGGTAGGCATTTGTATTTTTATGCATATGTCGTAAATATGCCTCTATAAAGAAATCTGCCCTGTCTGGAGTGCTGTTGTCCTAATTTTTAATTTGTGTCTTGGGTAGCATTTGACAATAATGTTGTGTATTTGGGGCAGGGTACTAGATTAAAGATCACACTCTAATCGGGAAGTATTTATTTGGAGCCTCCAGAATAAACATACTTTGTATAGCCTGACTTTTCTGTTGGTCTTGATTGATGACTCTGCTGCTTTCACTTTCTCACTGGGTTGTAGCCTTAGGGTAATCTTTGAGTTCTCCCCTTATCCTTCCTTTCATTATACAAGTGGTTGGTGCATATTTCTTTGTTCCCTGTATCCTGTGGTTGTTGAGTGCATATCCCTTCTCATCTCTCCCTCCTGCCTGCTCATCTGCTGTCATCTCTCTGACTCCCATCCCAGTGTTTTTTGTCATTCTGCTACCTGTTCCTTTGCCCGCTAATACTTGTTACTTTAAACTTTTGGTAATTAACATGTTTTAGATTTATGCTCCTTTGGTTCCATGTACATATATCTTCAGGGTAGCTACAAGAGTGTGCAATTCTGTTTGGTTTGCAAAAAGGGCAGTTTTCAAAAATTAAGTGTCTATTTTAGTTCTTAAGTACACTTTTGTAAACCACTGAATAAATGTCAGTCACATAGCTAGAAGCAGAGGTTAAAAGCAAAGAAAGATACAAACAAATGAAATGAAAAAATGAAACAATATTGCCCTCGATAATTTTGTCAGTGGCACACTACTAGTTCAACTTTGTTGTTCTGCCAGTTATTTCAGCCTATGCCAAGAAACACAACTGTTGAAGTACACTTAATTATGTTGTTGTGTGGTGCCGCTTGTTTATATTTGCTGGTACACAAATTTCCCAAAACTATTGCAGTGTAGGAAGCTATCCAAAGAGATTGTCAGACACGGATTGCTTGTCTTGCAAAGGTCTTCTTTTGCTGTTAGCTCCTGCAGGTATCTGCCAAATGAAGCTAGAAGCTGAGCTTTGTAGCAGCATCACTTTTTTTTCTGGCGAAAATCCTTAACTAGCCTTTCTGGGGAAATGTTCATACAGGTTTAACTGAAGTTTGCTGTTGGATGTGTATTTGATCTGTATGCCTTTTCATGTAGCCTTGTGCTTGCTGCCTGCCTGCTGCTCTATGTGAGAAGTACAGAACAAAGTACAGTCAAAATTTTTGTTTAGAACAATTGTGACCAGTAATTGAAAAAGGCTTAGAGGGCTTTTGACACAGGTATATTGGTAAAGCAGAGTTTGAAGTCCTGTATTGAAGTGAAATATAAAGGTGAGGGTTTTTTTCCCCTTCAAGAGGAGTTTCTCTTTATACAGTGAGAGCTAAACTGGTCACATTTCTGAAAAATGTGGAAGGTGATGGCATTCTGGGGAAATTAGTGGCAACCAGGTGTTCTTAATGAAAACAAAGTTCTGAATCACCCAGTTTTTAATGCCATGATTTTCCTGTCACCTTGGAAAATGACTGCCATTTTTCAGACATTGCTCTGGAAGCTGATGATAGGAGGGAAGAATGGTGGGAAGCAGTGTTCCCTCTAAGCTGAGTTAGTGTGAGCTAGCTCACAGTATTTTAGCCTCCGGCTCACACATTTTTGTCTTAGCTCAGGAAGGATGGCTCCAGAGCAAACTAATTTATGTAGTAGCCAAACCGCTCGCTCACAATTTAATGCCAGGAGCTCACAGAGGAGAATTTTTGCTCACAAGACTCTACAACTTAGAGGGAACATTGGTGGGAAGCAAGAGTTTCTTAACGAAAGAAAAATGCACAGAATTCAAAAATCTAGGTTGCCAAATGTTCTGCCTCCTGGATGGAAAATGTCTGCCCTTACCCAAGATGGTCACCCAGCTTGGTGCTGGGGGGGGGGGACAGTGGGAGGGCTTTTAGCATCCTGGCCCCACGGAACTCCTGATGGCACCTGGTATTTTTGGCCACTGTGTGACAGAGTCCTGGACTGGATGGGCCATTGGCCTGATCCAACATTGGCTTCTCTTATGTTCTTAACTGTAAAGTGTAATATTTGACAAGATAAAAAAAAATAAATCAGTGCATTTCTCACCAAGAGGCATATGGTTGCCACTGGTTCCCCCAAATGCCTTTACCAAGTTTCTGGAAGAGTTTTTTGGACTTCTGACCATAATGAGTTGCTGTGATGTTTAGCTGAGCTGTAAGAGCAGAACGTATGGAGATGCTGTTGGGTGTGACAGGCATCCTCAAAGGCAGTAAGAGGCACCTGATTAGACACATTCCTCCTTGTGTTGGAGAAGATGTGCTTTACGTCATATTGCCTATTCCCCTCAATCATAAGATTTTCAACAAAGCAAGGAGAATAACATGAACGATGTCCTTGTCCTGCCACTTCCATGTAATGCTGTTTGCATACTTCCTTCACATCTGTTTAATACATTATCAGATTACAAGAGAAAATATGTGCATGTAAGCGTGAGAATATTAATGTTTTAATGGTTAAATCATATAAATTGGCATTTCAATGAATGTAACACCACTGCTGGAATGAGCAGAACAGAAATGGCCATGCACAGAACATTCAAAAATGTAGTTTGTTGCAAAGAGATGAAGCTCGCAGATGAAGCCCTGGCTAGCTGCAATGTGTGTGTAATTAAAAAT